CTTTATCCTTTATCTATTGATATAAATATACATTTAACAATAATAAATAAAATATAATGCTCGAAAGTTTGCACAGCAAATCAATATATAAAAAACGACCAGCAAACGAGCACACACACACATTCAGATTTTAGATTATAATATATTTAAAATAAAAACTATATAATAAAAACGTTTCGATTCTACAGAGCTTTCATCAGTTTATAATTTAATTTACGTCTTACGTAACGCATACTCCAGCTATTCCATGTGATCCTCCAGATAGCAGTCTATAACCAGTGACTTTAATTTAGATTTTTATCATCGCACCATGTTTTTTAGTGAAATGTAGTCAGATGTATAAAATTTTTTCTTTAAAACAAATCCTCGTTTGTCAGCGAAGATCGATGTTTTTATCCCAATTGATGATAATAGTCATATATATAAAAGATTTAATCAATGTATTTAAAAAGGAACTATAATTTAAAAATAACATCATAAAATTTTTTTGAATCTAGTAATAACTTACAGTCATGATGTAAAATAAATCACTTTAGAACTTAAAAATTGAAGATATCTGGAGATAGCATTTTATATTCTATCTATTGCTTGGTCCCAAGAATGACTAAGAATGTCAGCTCGACAACGATACAGTGTGGAACAATATTTATGTGATAAATTTAAGCTATAGTTACTTAACATATATTGTCTACTGGAGCGCCTGAGTAGGGAACGCGCAGGCAAGACCTAATAAGGAATGCCTGATTTATGCCCTACTGAATAATGCCAGAATTGCGCCCTGTCGAGGTATGCTGACTTGGCATCTGAGCAGGAAACACGTAGGCATGCCCTACTAAGGAATGCCAAACTTATGCCTTACTAAGAAATGCCTGAATTGCGCCCTAACAACGGAAAGCTGGACTTGGGCCAGATCAGACCAGAATAAGACGTACCTTATGTGACTCTGTTTTATTTTTCTTTGCCAAAAAATTAATCAATAAATTATTAGGTTAGGTTCTTAGACGAAATGAACGAACTGCATTTTTGACAATCAACTTCTTGAGTCTACGACGAAATAAGTTATAATTGTGGAGTTTACAACTAATTGTCATGGAAAGTAATAAAAAGAAAAAACAAGATTTAATACGGCGAAGAGTAAATAGATATCGGCAAGTTCGCCGTATTGATCCGAGAGAATTTCTTGATACAACAAGTAAGCATCAATGAAAATGTAATTTTGTTCTCATAAATATCAATGAAAATGTTGATATTTAAAATCAAGTAAATCAAAATTTCAGCTCTTCCATTAATATACTTTATTGTATGTCTAGATATATTGTTTAGTATTTTTTTTCTTATATCTCTATTCCGGATTGGAAATCCATTATACAGACACTCATTCATACAAATACATAGGAAAAGAGAATTATTTTAATATACGAAGTGTTTTATTTTATATTTGACAGTCAAATATTTGTAATCGCCGAGTTTTAGAGAAAAATATTTCAGACAAAAGTTTTGTGATTCTAAGGGGGACATAAAATGGTACCATTGGTTTGACTTTGGGTGGCGTTATAAAGGTCAGGGCAAATTCACATTGAATTTTTTAAATGAAACTCCACACACTTTTCGTTGCATATTCTCATAGAAACACTTTGATAGTTTCTCGAAATACTTTAATACAATATTTTCTAATTAAATACTTTTTGTTTTATAAGACTTGAAAATTACAGTACTGCAGGCATTAGCATTATCCAAAGTGTCCGATTAACGGTTAAAACGGTTACAACGCCATCCAAGGTCAAATCAATGGTACAAAAGACGTTATTTTGTCATCTTTATTCCTCTTCAATTCTAGGACTTTTATTTCAAACTTGCTTTTACTATTTCCTTTATCTACGGAATATTATTGTTAACAGTGATTAAAATGAAACACCTTTATGTATTTTAACAATGTATCTTTTCAAATACAGTCATAATTCTAAAATTTACGTTTTTAAAAATATTTATAAATGTTCATTTAATATTCTTTGTATGATATACTTTGTATACTATTGTAAATATAGTCATATTTCTAAATTTAAAAATATTGTGCTTTTATTAGTTTGAATGCTGTAACTTGATAAGGACATCCAAATCCCAAAGATTTAGGAATTCGATTACGTGAAACGTCAGACTGTAATCGAGTATAATCACTCGGGCTCGGACAAACAATTCAAATGTTCCCTGAAGTGAAATTTAGTAACATTTCGGCTGGCGTATAAACTGATTATATAAACTATTTAAGTCAATATTGAGTAGTATATCATATTTGAAAGGGCATAAAAAAGAAATAGTCTCATACCAATCTATCAGAAAATTAAAATTAGTACGTGGCGAGAAGTCGTTGAGATAACTTGTCTCATAAGAGTTCTTTATAACAAGGAAAAGGAAAGAAAAAATTTTTTAACAATTCTTTTTCAACCCATTTGACTGGGAATAATATTATTTTATTTTTTCTGCTTGTTGTATTGTCTTATAATTTAATCTGAGAATTGTGTATAATTGACAAGAAGTTATCTGCGAAATTTTTTTATATTTGTTGACAAGGAATGACTAATACGATGAGATAATCGAGTGTTTGATGAGTGTGGAAAAGAAACTATTTCTTTTAGCAGTCTTTCTCTCATAAATAAGAAATTAATAAATATTCTGTTATGTATGTAATATCTAGAAATTTCAAACATACGGTCAGTAAATCGTTTGAGAGAGAAATTTTGTATCTTGGAAGATACTCATCTACCATTCAAGGTTGATCATGGATATTTTTGTAATTTTACCTAATATTAATGGATATCTTGCGGAAATGTTAACTACGTTGGAACATCTGAAGATGGCTTGATATAAAGCCGAAACATGTAATAAAGCTTACTAACGTTCAATTAAATTTTTATTTTATTTAATTCTGTGACATATATATATTTTTAACGTTTTATTTGACTCTTATATGTCCTTTACAACATTATTTGAAATTTTATAAAAAAGAAAGTTTTTAGTTCAATGATTAGGCCCAAGTAAGCAATTCCCAACTAGGGTATATCTTACACTTTATGATTAGACCCTAATCACGTTGCCTGATCAGTACCTCACCAGTAGAGCAAGATTAGGGCATACCCTATCACTTCCTGATCAGGCCCAAATGAGGAATTCTCAACTAGGCATACGCTGCACTCTCTGATCGGGCCCTAATCACGTTGTCTGATTGGTACCTAACCGGTAAAGCAAGATTAAGGCATTCCCTATCATTTCCTGATCAAGCCCAAGTGAGGATATGACCAAGTAGGGCATATCCTACGCTTCCTGATGAGGGCCATTTAATACGTAGCGTTACATTCAATATCAGGGCCCTATTAGGTTGCCAGATCCGTACCTGATCTGAAATAGGGTAAGCCATACGTGGATCTGAAGAGAGCCATACGAAAATTTCTACTCGGGATGGTTTCTTTTTAAATACATTGATTCAGATCTTTTATATTGTACATGACTATTACTATCAATTGGGACAAAAACGTCGATCTTCGCTGACAAACGAAGATTTTTTTTAAAGAAATAATTTTATACATCTGACTATATTTTACTAAAAAACATAGTGCGATGATAAAAATCTAAATCAAAGTCATTGGTTATAGACTGCTATCTGAAGGATGACATGGAATGACTAGAGTATGCGTTAGTATGTAACACGTAAATTAAATTATAAACTGATGAAAGCTCTGTAGAGTCAAAACGTTTTTATTATATAGACTTTATTTTAAATATATTTTAAAATAAAGACCTTATAATAAAAACGTCATTAATTAGTCATTCTTATGACGAATGTGACGTTTAAAATGACGTCCAAACATCGTAAAAATGACTTAGATTTGTCACAGATACATAACGTCGTAAGTTGACGTCAAAAATACGTTTTTTTTTTCGTGTTATTGACGGTAGCAAAATGTCCATTTGACATCATTAATTAGTTATTTTTATGACGAATCTATACGATTCCTGAGACAAGATGAAAATTACAAAAATGAACGAATTTGCTAGGTGTTGAAGTTATAAATATTCTAGTAAATTCAATTATTTTTGTAATTTCCACTCATTTTAAGAACCATAATAAGCTCCTTGACGTCTAAACATCGTACAAATGATATGAATTCTTATATTTCTTATCACTCACACAACGTCATAAACTGACATAAAAAATACATCATTATTTTCGTGTTATTAATGGAATAAATGTATGACGTTATTAATTGATCACTAATAATGTTACTAATACCTGGACAATTGACTATTTATTCGATGTCATTAAGTATGACATTATAAAGACGTCATAAATAAATGACGCCATTAATTGGTCAAAAAGATGACGTCATTATTACATCTTAAATAGATCACATGACGTCAATAATTTAAAATGACTAACTATCGACGTCAAAATAATGACAGCTTGTTACCTGGGGATATTATAATCAAGATTTACAACTGTTTATTATTTTGTGAAAAATAAAATTATTTGACAAAATCTTTGATACATTCTATATATTCATCGAGTACAGGCTGTGATACGCCAAAATGTATAAAATATGTTTCGATGTCTTTAGTGTAAAAAAAATTTATACGATTTTTTATTTTTATCACAAAATTGTATTCACAAACGAATATGTCTGTCAGAAATTTTAAGCTCGATTAGATTATAATATAATTCATAATTTATACTGAAATTTATGATAGAAATCTATGGTGTGCCTAATTAGTGTTGCTATAAATATCCAATTATTAACAAACTCACAATCTTAAAAATAAAAATAAATAATAAATTCAAGGCTAATGAGAGTCAAGGCCGATAAAAGTGCCAGAGATTAAATTCAAATCCCAAAGATTAATTTATATAATGCATTGATATAAACTTTTTAAATTATAAAGTCTATATTGTATTATAAAATATCTATGTTTTAATTGATAAATGTGTAACTATATTTATGTTATTTTAGACGACCTACTGGCTCGGAACAAAAGGTGCCTACTATGGGAGTAGCAGATGAAATTCGATCAACGAATCCAGATCATATAGGTGGCTACCAAGTAGCTCTACCCATTTTTACCGGTATAGAAACCAAGTTCGGTCTTTGCTTACCCAGATTTCAAGCTGTTACCGGAAAGTAACAGTATTATTAGCAAATGTGTAAGAAAGCAAGCTTGTAGCAAACCCTGCCATAAATAATCTACGATTACACTACGCATTGATTATTTCACTGACATTAAAGCGGAAGTAATGTGCGTATGAGCTTCTCAAATTACAAATTATACGAATCTGCATTTCATCTCAACAATCATCTTGGCCATTTTGGTATCATGCAGATCAACATAAAAAAGAACGGATCGTCGATTGATATTAACTCGATGCATACAACATACATACATAATCGTAAAGTGTAATTATGGATCGATTAAGGAAAAGTACAAAATCCATCGTTGCGGAATGCCCAAGAACGCTTGTGATAGCTGAATTGATGCAGTCAATGGACACAGGAACAAAACCAATGGCAATGAAACTATTTATTTTGATACTATATAGATATGTTATATCAAATTGATGCTATCTGTATGTAATAATTTTATAATGCGAGAAAAAAAGAGAAAATGTGTGTGTATGTGTGTGTATAACATTTATCGACGATTTGTTATTGCTAACTTGAAACGTTTCTGCCGATACGCGCATAATAACTAATTGAATGTGTGAGTGATTAACGCCAACGAATATGAGTGTGATGTTTTAGTAAGGATTATAATCCGCAATGGTCCCGATATGTGTGTGTGTACCATGTATATTTATAAAGTTCATAGTAACAAATTAGGCCTCTGTAATTACATTTATTATTTATCCAAACATCTAGTTGTATAATTTTTAATTGGTAAATAAAAGGCCAATAAATCTGTTTTTATCATTTGCTTATCATATACAATTGTAAAGTAAATGTCGACAAATAATGTTCATATACCTATTAGCGAATCACGAAATTGAAAAAAAAATATTACTAATATTATTATACATATAATGTAATGCAACAATATTACTAATATTATTATATAATGTAATGCAACAATATTACTAATATTGTTATTACTTGTCTATTATAACAGGATACAAATGAATTTGTATCTTACTAAATTAAATGAATAATTTTCTTATTGCAGTAATCTCAGATAGCCAAATGAGTCCACGATGCCATCATGTTATTGCTCACATGAATTCTAAATTTGATGATATCAAATTGGTAGCATCTTGATGACATGTAAAAACTATACGTGCCACTAATTAGCCATTATATTGCCGACACAATACTATATATGAAATACAAACTCATCGCGTACCGTTATTTTATTGTCAACATGAGGTATTATTATAATAATTCCAGGGATGGGAAAGTTACTTTGTAAAAGTAATTAATTACAGTTACAGTTTTTCTCTTTCAAAAAGTAATTAATTACCGTTACAAGTTATTGACTCTGAAAAGTAATTCGTTACAGTTACAGTTACTGAAAAAGTAACTTTAAGTTACTTTTAAGTTACTTTTTTCATCGGAATTTTTACTACTAGTATCGATACTATTAGAGCTGTATTCAGAAACGTTATCCAACTGCCTTCATGCATCGTTTTATCCTTGTTTTTCATCTAATATTAAACAAGGATAATACACGGGGTAATCAGAGTAATACAGCCTAGGACAATTAAAAAAAAGACTGGCTTACATTTACGTATTATACAATTTTATTTAAAAAGATAAGAAAATTGTATGGCAAAGACGTTTTTCGTTAAAGTAATATAAACATATAGGAATATGAATATGAAATAGCACACATATACAATGTTTTTTATAAAAAAAATTCTTTTTACATTCGGCTAAAAGTTGCAAATAAATTCCAGCACTAATCCAAAATGGTCTACAACCGTTCACTGAGCGGTCTTGTATTTGATTGGCGGATTCTGTTAGATTCAAAAATATAGACCAAACAGGTACAAGAGTTCATTAAACGCTTTAATGAAATTTCTTTTTTCTGATTAATCAAATGTTTCGAAGTACTTGTAGCGCCAACTTGTAGTAGACACTACCGCACATTAAATTGACAAATAAGTTTAAAATGTGTAAAATAACTATGAATCTAACTATTAAATTAGTTACTAGTTACTTAAAAGATGTAACTAAGTTAAGTTATAATTACAGATGGAAAGAAAGTAACTAAGTTAAGTTACAATTACTGAAAAAAGGTAACTCTAACTGTAACTTCGTTACAAGTAACGAGTTACTTCCCATTCCTGAATAATTCTCAACGTTTGCTCTTGAAATTTCATAAACTGCCCAGTAAGCAATTTCTAACAATTTGATGCCAATTTGGTATCAAACTCGCTCAAAGCTTGGTAGTAAATCTGGTGCCACCTGTGTCAATAGTAAGCTTGTGTTTTGCATGCAAAGCTTACGTTACAAAACTAAGCAGCAAATTGGCATCAAATTGGCAGCAAGCTTTGCGTAGCACTGTTTGAGGACAAATTGACATCAAATTGACAGCAAATTTTGCGTAGCGCTGTTTGACGACAAATTGATAGCAAATTTTGCGTAGCGTTATATTTAACGATAAATTCGCGGCAAAATCCAAACAAGATTTGATATTTTGCAGTCATTTAAATGGGTCATTGACCCATTTAAATGACTGCAAAATATCAAATCTGGCTTAGAAGTATACTGGCAGTATTAAATTGGCCAATGATTAATTACTTAATTTAAGTATTAAAAACACAATCGTTAGTGCTTTTAATACTAACAAAATTATTAATTACAAGCAATTTAATAATGACAGTATTATATTTCTATAACGAATACCCCGATATTTAATCGATACTGTTACCAATAATGATTTTTTTTCTTATTTAATCAATGGGTAAAATAAAGATTAAAAAAAGTATTATGCTTTCATCTTGGAGCCCTTATGGCTCACTTAAAAAATTATTTCATTAGAACACAACTGAAAAATTTCTCAATGCTACGTCTTTTATCCTAATCTGTGTGGTTGAAGAAATTTAACTTGTGTATTTCTCTGATGGCGGTGCCGCGTACTATTCAACGTTTTATCGACTATCAAAATATCAAATCTTGCTTGGATTTTGCCACGAATTTGTCGTCAAACAACGTTACGCAAAGGCTTGCTACCAATTTGGTGCTATAATTTGTCATCAGACAGCGCTAAGCAAAACTTGCTGCCAATTTGGTGTCAATTTGTACACATATTATATATATATATA